TTTTTTTGACGGAACTCCCCAGGCACTGGTTGTTGTGTGTATGCAACAGTTGACATTTCACTACCTAATTCAGCAAATACCCTATGGAAGACACTTCCTTCTTTTACCTAAACCTGGGAAACATAGAACAGGAAATTGCAGACAAGAGCAAGTAGGATAGAGGCTTTACTGGTGGTATCCTCTTAAAGTGTATTCCAGTGGCTCCCAAATCTCCCCAAAGTCCACTATTTTGTGAATGGGCAGGCAAATTTCAAAGAGTGTACAGCCATTGTTTAAATGAGAATTATATACCTTAAGAGATTTGTACCATTGATAGTATTTTTCTATAAAATTGCAAAAAATCTCCTTAAGATTAAGATTAAATTGGTATCACTATAAGGTTTTTTGGTGGGGAAGAGAAAAAAAGGGAATTGTTTTCATTTCAAAATGTCTCCACTCTTTTTTGGCACAGAGTGGGGGTCATCAGGAGAAATCTGTGTTAAAGCTTCCAAATGGGTGAATATAAAAAAACTTCCAAGTTTGAAAGACTCTTTCAGTGCCTGTGTGCTTGTTAGCATCTTGCCTAGATGGGGTCAGTCAACAGTTGCTGCTGTGAGGACAAGCAGATTGAGATCCAGAAAAGTTAAAGTCAAATGAACGATAGTTTTAATCGGTTGTGAAAGCAACTGGTGCTTGTTAGGTAGTAGGAAGAAGTTCCCAGTCAATTTTTCCTGCCACCTTTTGAACCAGGGAACTCCTGCTTCGAGTAACAAATGGAGAGTTCCTGTTCACTAACTGCTGATCACACGTTTGACAGGAAGTTCTGTGGGGACTGAATGACTTTAGAGGCGAATTTGTTGGTGGCACACTCCGAATCTATTTCTCCTGCAATGTTTTCTGTTTTCCATTCTTCATTTTATATCATGTTACAAACAATAGGCATGTGTATGGAGAAGGGGTGTTTTGGGGATAAAAGTAAATGCCTTAGAAGTTTAGAATTTACTAAAAAATTTTTTACTTTTGAAGGATGTAATTTAAAGAATGTCTTCTTTGAGGTTGGATTAATCTAACAGACTGGTGGCTGAGTAATGTATAGCCTGTCTGTTTTAACTTGAAGCTAGTCTGGTCTTTGATGCTCCAGTGTACAGATAACAGATAATATGAAACATGACTGTTTGACGTCAAAAGCCAAAACTAGATACTTTTGTACAGAACAAAAAGAGTAGAAAGTCAAAGGAATAGTTGTAGTCCCCATAGCAAAAAAAGAGAGAGAGAGAGAGAGAGAGAAAGAAAAGAATGCTAGAAGTTGTTACCTCTTAGCATGTTTACAATGTCTTGCTCATTTTATTTTTTCTTTTTATCAAGGGTTCCAACTAGACGAAGCAGCATTTTATTTAACTCTTTTTCATTTATTTTGACAGAATTTCTTCTCTCTTTTTACAGGCACTACAACGCCATCTCAACATATTAGAAATTGTCCATCAGTGGAAGCACAAAAATATTGTTTTAATGGAGGAACATGCTTTATTCTCCCTATACAACCCAATGAGTGGCATTGTATGTAAGTATCTCCTTCACAAAATACACACTTGTGAAAATAGTAAATAACATTGGATTACAGTTATCAACCCTATGTGTTAAATTTACATGTAGTCTGTAACTTTTGTAAATTGCACATGAATACCAATTCACTATTTTTGATGTAAAAAAAAAAGAGTAATGTAGAAACTGCTGAATACTGACAAATTAAATATTTGAAGATTAGAGATGGACTGATATTTTTTCATAAAATTTCTGTTTATAAAGTGTAGGCTGCTTGCATGCATACACACACACACAAGCACTCAAACTTTTCTTTGAATATGTGGCCAAATTATAAGATTGATATCATAGAGCATAGAGTGGATGAAGATTTATCTTAATTAGGCACTAACCCTGTGAGCTTGGCAGCATGCTGAGCTGAGCAGGTGGTGTGAATGACAGAGATAGTTGAGGAGTGCATGTTGGATGCACCCTGCATGTCAGAGAACCAGTGGCAACATGAATCTGAGTGCTCTCTGGTAAAGGGAAGCCTGTGCTGTTAAAAGTTTCAAGTCACCACAGGTACTCTGACACCCAGGGTTGTTAATGGGGCATGAAGGATAAAAAAACTTAACTGAAAAAGTGGTGAAAAATAAGGAAGTTTGTTGCTTTGGTGTTCAGATAGCAATAACCTAAGCATATTCTGATGACTGTTTGTCAGCGTTAGAATCAAATCAATCAACAGTCCGATGAGCTGATAGGTTTGTAATGCGAAAAGCATTTCAAAAGTTCCCTTGCTTGTGTGCTTTGCAACTATACGTCTGGCATATTCAGTCTACATCTCAGGCCTAGATGTCCATAGCATAAGAACAGGAAAAAAGTGGGGTGGGAGGGGGGTTCTTGATTGCTTACATTGCTCCACCAGCCTATAATAATGATGCAAACAGTTATAGCATGTAGCTGTAGTGATTTATAGCTTACTGACAATGTGAATTAATTTATATTGGTAATGATGAGGAATAACCTTGTCTCTAGAAATGGACTAGCTAAGAAGATAATTCATCTGATGTGAACGATTGCTACTAGGTGGAGTGGTGTTGTATTTAAAATTAAAATGCATATTAGTACATAATAGTTCAGATTAAACTTTAACTTAGTACACAAATATTCATATATATTGTGCATGTAACTAACTTACTACTGTTGTGCAGATAACACTGCAAGTTTCATGTACAATTTCGACTAATCTTAACAATGATTATAACATTGGTATTGGGTTTATAATAATAGTTGGACTGCACTAAGATTTTCTACTTGGTGTCTGTTGTTATAGGTGCCCTATCAATTGGAAGGGCAAACGATGCGAAACTTACCATCACACAGCTGGAAAACCAGTTTATTCTCAGCCATCGAGTATGTATAAAAACAAACATAGTCGTTGTCATCTGTGCACATTCATTTTCACTAGCATTACCAAAGATCTTAAAGCATGGCATGGTTTTGTGGTATTAATGTTTATTTTGTTATTATTTGTTTATCTTTTGGTTTATTGTATGATTTTGAAAATTATTGGTGACTAATCATTATTGCATGTAGTTTTCAAGTTATTCCTTCCCCCTCATGCACTCATAAGCCAGAAGACATCAGCTTGCTCAGTTTGCATGGAGAGTCAACTTTATTTCTGTTTTTTATTTTGGGAATTATTTTATTTTGGTTCATAAGGAATTTTCGTGCAATCCTTTTTATTATTATTTTTTTAACGTCAGTTTGAGGTACTTTTTAAGATTAAGACCCCTATTTTGTTACCCCAGTGCACCCTTTTCTTTTGAAGTTTCTTTATTAATGATAATTATGGAGTAGTTTGAGAATTATTAGTATTGTCCAGTGCACTTTCCTTGTTATCCCTGTCCCCTGATATATATGTAGTAGAAAAAAACTAACATGCATGTGCTAAGTGCATATGTCAACTCATTTTCATATCCTCAATTAGAATGATTATTTGCCTTTAAATTTTATAAAGAGACATAAAAAGGAATAAAACTGTAATGAATACCTGCAATATGTGAGGTCATAGTTATAATGATTAAGGCTTAATGCCAGTACATGTCTTGCTTTAAGATCATTGTTTTTGCATAGTGATAATGATAGTCTTTTATGATGTTTTTTCCCCAGACCAACCAGCTAACCAACTGCTGCTGCTGCTAATACGACCTTATGCTTCTTCTGTTTGTGTGTGTTGAACAGTATTGAGTAGTTGCTAAACTTTCCATTTATTTTGTTAAATTTCAATAGGTGCCCACAAGTTTTCGCTGGAAAGCGGTGCGAACTATCAGTTCCAGGGACAGGGTCAGTCGTGACCAAGAGTATGTATCCATACAGCATGACATATTTGTAGATGGCACCACTTGCATGCTTTCCCAACACAACCACCATATGATCAAATTATGCTCTGTACTATGATTTTCTTTTCAATTTTAATATTTATTTGCTTAGTTCATGCAGTATAGAATACTTTCTTTCTCCCCACCAAAACAAAGTGTCAGTATTCCAAAGGATCTTTCAATGCAAAATTTTTGAAACATTTGTCAAAAGAAATTTGAACTCCATTGGAATATTGGACTATCTATCTATGACATACATCATAACAATATTATTTTAAGAAGGGATTCAACTTCAATCTTTTACTTGTCTTGCAAACCCTCCCCCCATATTTTAGTCCCATTCTCTGTTTTCTTTCTTTATATAGATAAGCCATTTTAGTAGTGTATAACTTTTATTTATTTTTATTATTATAATTTTCTTTATTTAATTTTATTTTTTGCATGGTTTATTTTACTGGTCTTCTTTTTATTTACAATGAATTTATTATTACAGATACATTGCATGCTTCCTGTACCAGGGAATCCCCATCACTCTTGGAATGCAATTTTTTCTTCTATTTTGAGTTGTTTCTTTCATTGAAAGTGGATATTGCACTTAGTTATATACACAGTTTAAATGGTATTTTCGGCTGCTTTTTAATTTGATGCATTTTTCAAAAAAAAAAAAAAAAAAGAGGCCATTTACCCTATTCACACTGGCAGTTTCGACCGCAGTTAAGGCCCAATCGAGGTCCTATTGGGGTTTTACTTTTCTAATGTGAACACACAACATACCCCTCACCGCATTCCAAATAACCCCAGATAAGGACTAGGGTTAAGTCGGAGTTAACTTTGATTCGCTGTCAAATTTGAAACCCATGCACACAAGCAGGCAATTAATTTCGCGGGAAATTCTGATGGTGCTGACACTGATTGTACATATACATATATATCTATCATTTAATAATGGGCTGCAGTAAAGGAGTATTTTGGCCTGTGGATGCTGTCAAGTCCTGCTCTGCATATGGTCTGTGAGCGAAATACAAAAATGTTGGAGGAGAGTGCCAAAAACAAAATATTATTCTGTTTCTAATGAGATCAGTTATGTGCATGCTTATTCAAGCGTGATTCAATTGGAGTTGAGTCAACTGCGGTTTACTTGCTAGTGTGAATAGCCTTATTGAGTTTTAAATACCTATAAAACAGATAGGTAAAAGTGGACTGTGGCAAAAGAAAACTCTCAGCTGTTGTTTGTTTACAGCGCATAGACTAAATCTTGCACTGTATTTGGCACCAGAGCTTCTTAAATGTACATCATTTGAAAAGGCAGCCTGTAGTTTATTTACACCAACTGTCCCAGTGATATCAAATACAAAGTCCTCCTGCAGCCGTCCCTGTGGTCTAAAAGCAGTATGTTACACAGTTTAAAGGCCCAGTATACTGCAGTGTATGTTTCAAGGAATGGAGATGGGTTGTTTTACAATATTATCCATGTGCAAATGTGTAGGCTCCTGCCTCACTCACACTGCAGGGGAGCCACTGTTCCAGTGTGTATGCTCAAGTATAGATGGTAACAGAGGTGGCCCAGGGTTTATGGAAACATTTCTGTCAGTCATGTTGTGATCCAGAACGTTTGACTCTATAAACAGTCTAGATTTCTTGATGGGATTTTGCATGAAAAAGTCCAAAAAGAAATTTTTCACAAATTGAATGGGGAAGAGGAATAGTTTGAGAAAATTTTTTTTCTGTATGGCACTTTGTTGCTGTTGACTTTGGACTTTTTTTTTCTTTTGGAAGGATCTCTTCAGAAAAACAACTTTTTTTGCATTCCAAAAAGACCAGAATACTTAACGTATACTTGACACTTACACTTTTGAATAGGGAATTATTTGCACGAAGGAAATATTTTTCTGTTGCAAGGATGAAACTGAAAGGTTACAATTTGAGTTACCAAATTTGTAAAAAAAACAGATAAGCCACCACTGTCTCCATTAGATACTTTTGCCATATGTACATCATGAAATGGGTGCTAAATGCACACCTATACTGTATACTTTGCTGCATGATGCTATGCAAAATATGATAAGTGTACTCAATATATTGCTCTTCATTGTACTTTTCAAGATTGGTTTCATTGTCTTTGAAACATCAAAGATCCCATTTGAAATGTTTCACTCATGTAATGTGGTGTGTTTATAGTCTGTACACAAAGTAATTATGCCAGATATACAACACAGAGCAAAGGGTACTTCTAGGTCATTTTACAACTAGTTGTAGCCCATTTCATGTTTCTGTGGCTTCAAATTAGAATGTATTATTTTTTTGACCTGAAAGCGGCAGGGCACCAGAAGTGCACAGACCTAATTGCAGCTATTTGGGCTTAATGTTTTCCGTTTCACAGGGGAAGTTTTACAAAATCTTTCTCCAAACCTGATGCAGTTGATCCAGGCAACACCACATTGCAAGGGTATTGACCTTGAAACTTGGTTCTTTGGTGGTTGAGAGAGAATCTGTGGTTTTCAATGAACTTAATTTAATGCAGGCGTTTTAAAGACTGCATCTTTTAGTTTTGAGAATTTTTTTCAAAATTTGCAAATGTTTTGTGTATAAGATAAAAAAATTAAGGAATTTGTATTTATTCACACAAAAATTTAATTAATTTGAATTATGTATTTTTTTATTATAATTGTAGGTGCTTGGGCCACAGAAACTTCCATAGTTGTTGCATGCGGAACTCTTGTTGTACTGATAGCAGTAGCAGCCGTGGTTGTGATCATACTCCAGAGAAGGTAAGAGAGTAAATACCCTCTGTTCTATGAAAAAATAATTACACGAATCATAGAAAAGCAGTTTCTGATGTAAAAGGTGAAAAAGTCTCTCGAATATTGATCTATTTTGAAAATTACTTCAGCACCTTGAAGTCTTGTGGGAGATCTTATTGTGTTTGGTTACTTTATTCAGGATAATCATACTTTCTGTTTATTTAATTGTTTTTTTTTTTTTTTTCCATTCTTCTGCAGGCACCACCGCCGTAAGAAGTCCCAGTTTGCAGCAATGTATTTTAAAGGTGGGGCCGCAGGGCAGGATGACCATGGGCAGGACATCTGGCTGACCAGAATGACTAATGTAAGTATATATGTTACTTCATGAATATGCTTATCCCTACAAAGTAAAATTTACAACAGCAGAAATAAAATAATATTAACTAATTTTTTTAGTTATTATCACTATTCATGTAGATGTATATACACTCTTGAACAATGGAACTGCCACAGACATCTAATTTAAATGAAGATCTAAGTGCCTTATGTTTCTTTGATATGTATCATTGGAAAAGTACTGTTGAGCAGTGCCTTGGTCTGCTGAGATTGCCTGTTCTTATCTTCAACCTACAGAATTTTTACATAATAAAGTGGGAGTTTTCATGTCATATTTGAGACAATCTTGATGAATGTCAGTTGAGCGTTGCCTCTGCCTGCTGCCATTGCTTGTTTGTATATTCAACCCTACTCCATTTTACATAACATGAGAACCCCTGGGATACATGTTATGAGGAAGACCAGTTGAGTGGTGCCTCTGCTTGTCAGGTAGTGGCTGTTAACATGTTCATCAGACACCTGTCTGTTGGTTTACCTACCCTTGTGGGGTGATTAGAAGTGCTAAAGCAGGAAATAACTGCATACTCAGCATAGAAGGACAGGGGCATATGGTTGAGTGCAATAGTTAAGCTCATTTCCTCTTCCCCCCTTACATAAAACAAGTAAAAAGTTAATTGAGTGAAAAACCACGACAGAAATTTGTAGTTTGGCATCTCTCCCCCTTTCTTTGCAGCAAGCTCTAAGTTTCCTCATTATTACTAGTTTTAGGTTTTTTGCTTTCTAAATTACAGGTTTCCCCTCACTTCATTGCAGCAAGTTAGGATCATTATTACCCACAAGTTCTTGACTTTTTTGTTCTCACCGAACATTGCAGCACATTCTAGTTTTTTTCTACCCTCCATGGTCTGCAACAAGTATACAAGATGGAGCTTTCAGAGCACTGTGCAAATGTCAAGCTATGTTAGCGGAGTGCACCTAAAGGTCTACTGATCAAAGATGACCCATTGGCTCCATGTTAAATGTACCAAATGAAAGTTACCAGTAATCAGATCACAAATGAACACACAACATAAGAAGATAAACGAACAGTTAATGTGTTTATAGTAGTACAGTATAACATCACCAAATTGCTTCAAACTCTTGCCTCGTTTAGAGAACTTTCCATTGGTGCTTGGATCTGGGTAAATTGTTTAAGGTACTAGACCATCCAAAATGGACAGATTACAGACTGACAGTTAAAGTTAATTTATTTAGACAATCTGGCTGAATTTTCAGTACTTTTGCAGTTGATAAATATCCAATCCAATATAGAAGACCCAGGGTGGTTTTCTAAGCCAGCTAATGAGCTGTTAAATGATTGGTAATTGATTTGTTTTGGAGCCGAGTGCAGTTCCCTAGCTCTAATACCCTTGATGTGGTTTTAGGATGAGTCAGATGGCTGAAATTGTATCAAGGTGTTTCTTTCTGCAAAGATGGTACAGTTTTGTCATGTCTTCCTTGTTCAATTGCTGTGACTGAATAAAGAAACTTGTTTGGAAAATGTACTTTCTGAATTTTAAACTGCACTTTGCTGAATTCTTTTGTCTGATGCCTTCCCATTAATCTGTTGTTTGTCAACCTTGCATGTGGTAAAGAATTGATAGAAATGGAGAAATTTGGTAGATCATTTCCAGAGGAGATTTCTGTATAACCTTGCAATGAATGTTGACACAAAGATGTAACCTTAGTTTTTCATGTGTGAGGACTTCATTTACCCCTCAGTGTATTACCATGACTATTGTGCAACTTGTCTTGGGAAATTATTCAAAAATCTTCTGACTGGAAATTGCCTTCTGTTATTCATGGCGTTTTTCTCTCTTCCAAAGAGATTATCTGAAGTTTTTTTTACGCTTCTTTAGATTCTTTCATGTTCTTTTTATGCTACTGCTTTTAAGGATCTCACTGCCTGAGATTTTTCTCAGTAGGTAACCAACTGTGCCAACAGTGATGTTATGTAAAGGTCTTCCTAAATCCTTAAGAAATTATGGTAAATAATTTGATAAAAGAGTAAAAATTTGCTTCAAACAATTTTTCAAGGCGTGCAAAAACAAGTTTAATTTCTGAAATCTGGAGATGATATTTCAAAGCTTTTACCCCCCTTCATTGCTACTGTTTGTATAATGTCTCAGCCAGTACTTCCAAAAAAATTGCCAAAAAATTTTTCCCTTTGGAAAATTTAATTTTGTATCAAACGCTGCAAGCACTGTTTTTGGATCCAATGTGGCCTTTTGAAGCTGGTGTTGTAACCTTCTAACTGTTGAAGTCTCTTACTGTAATAGTGATGATTGAAGACCCAAAATAAGTTGTGTGTGGTGTTTTCTCTGGTAGATATCTGTTTTCACAGCTGGAATTCAGACAGAGGGACATTTCATCTGATTGACATTTTGCTAAATGCGCTGATGCGTCTTTGTTAAAAAATACACTGATTAGAAAGTGATATATGCAGACATTTTGTTTCATGTAACTATTGCTGGCTTTTCCTTTAATACTTTAATCGATAAAATTATCCTAGGCTATCTGGCGTTGCTACCTAGGGGGTATGTTTATACTGTAGAAATCTCTGCGAGCTGTGCACCTTCACACACAGTTGCCACCAGGCACCAGTATGTACTGATTGACATCCCCGTTAAGAGTCCCAGACACCAAGTTCAGGTGCACAAAATTAACATGGCAGAAACTAAAATTTGGAAGAAAATTCTTCACAGACTCTAGAAACAGCTTGGAAATTGGACAAGAATCGGTCAGGACCTTTGCTGCACTTGGTTCACCATCTTTTGTTAAAATTCTTCAGTTGCCACTCCCCATGTCAATTTAATAAGATTTTATGTTATCTTGTCAGTTGTACAGGCAGTTCCAGTTTAGATCTTATCAATTTCCTGAAGGATTGGTTTTTATTTGTACCCATTCATAGGACTGCTGTTCATTTCTCCTCACCACTAGACTATTTTGTTAAAATTAACAGGGTGAGAATGGCATGTTTACTCCCAAAAACTGGGTATGTTTATTAAAAGGAGTAACAGCAGAGAGACCTAAAGCTCCAAAGCCATCCTTTTTCCATGGAGTGTAGATGAAGAAAAGACAAGTAGTTGGCACCCTTACAGACATGAATGTAATCATTTATGTCTGGGAAGAAAGGAATTAAATGTTTTAAAACCTGTGGCTTGCTGATTAATTCTTAGCACAATCCCAGTACAGACCAGGTTTTCTTACTGTTGACCAGGGTGTGTTTACAGTGATATTCAGATTGTATATGCTAGCCCACTCAAAGACCTATGGTTTATTTTGACTCCTAACATTTGGAGAGACTCAGTATTTTCTTGGGTGTTTTTAGCAAATCAACCTAGGTTGAGGTCACTGAATGTTCCAACAAATTTGGGAATAAATGTATAAATTCCATGCGTGAAACAATGTTTGGTATTTAACTTTCTCAAATATTTACAACTCCTTATTGATCTCAGATTAAAGTCTTCATTATATCAATTTACAGACAAACCAGCCTGGAGCTCTCGACCCTAACAACCAAGAGAGTTCTCCTTTGATAGCCCATGGCTGCACGAACCCGCTCGGAGATGAACCCGATGGCCGCAAACCTCCAGCAACTGTTGCCGAGCCGCAGGACAGCTTGGAGAGACAACAGCGAGGTCGGCTGCCTGCCGTGTCAGAAACTCCCAACAGTATGCGCAAATATACTGTCCACCAGAATATGCCTATTCACCCTTTAGTGACTGCAACTGTTCACGCAAAACCGCCAGAACACCAAGAACTGAAGAGCAACTCTCCTTCGCAAAACTCCAAGACTGAGTCACTGCAACAACGTATGCACCACAGCAGCGGTAGTGAGGATGATGCTGAATCTCCTGACCCCACAGGTCGTCTCCATGGTAACAAAACTGGAACAGGCCTTCCTCTTGAGATTGACGACTACATTGAACAGCGAGGCAGCCCTATGATTGACAGCGACATGGAGGTCAATCCTGCAGACAGTGAAGTTGACCTGAATATGGGAAGCCAGGATGTTCACCATCCAGGTCGACATCACCTTCGCTATGGCAGCCATGACCAAATGGAATCAGAAATCGATGCCAATGATGAAAGTTTCGAAGAGGGAGATCACGATTTTCATGAGCAGCTTCTCAACGGCTACCTGAACAACTTAGGTTCTGCCAGCAGCCCTTCCCAGATTAGAGTTCCCAAGTCACCAAAGACAGATGAAACTGCTAAGGCCTATGCTTACGATAGTGATGATGATGATGATGATAATGAAGAGGAAGTGGAGGATCCACGGGTGCATTATCATTATCCCAATCCCAAGTTCACCACTTTCCAGCCAGGTCCCAGAACAGGTGAATATAGTAATCAGTATAGCAGACCACCTGAACAAAAGTATCATGCCTAAGACCAAACGCTGCGAACTGCCTTTTTTATAAGGACACTGCCATGTTAAAGTATATCTGACCTATTGAAAAGGTTGTCAGACATTTTAACTTCCTATATTGTATATAGATTTATATTATCTGACATGTATGTAAATTAAGTGATGTATATATTAACATTTGTATATTAATGTTGCATATGTCTGCACTATTTATTGCATGTGTGTTACACACAAATGCACCGCTATATTAAAGAGATGTTTATGGATCTACATATCTGTAACCTTATTACATATACAGGGTTGATGAATTGCAGCAATTGATTCAAATGTCACCATGTAACCTGTATTATTCTTGTGATTTCCATTCATATAATAATTATATTGTAAAAATAATGATTTTAACTGTTAGACACTACAATGTTGACTTACTATATCATATATACTTATTTAAGACGTCTGTTTTCTTTTTTTTTTTCCTTTTTTTAACAGTTTAAAGAAATAAGAACAATATTGTGTCCAGTTGTAACAGTGATAACTGATAGGACAAGAGTTTGTTCCTTTTAAGGGCTATTTTTGTTTTGCTAGCTTTGTCAAGAATTTTTTTCAGTTTTCTTGATAAGTTTATTGGAGATTTGTTTTGTTTGTAGTCAAGAATTTCATTCAGATTTCTTGTTAAGTTTATAGGAGTTTTGTTTGTTGGTGAATTTTTATTTCAATTTCAAAAGAAAAAAATGGTTTGACATTGAACACCTTAGAGGTGAAATTCTTTTCACCTGACAAATCCATCTTGTTACAATGATGCTAGCACTACACCCTCATAGGGTGCGTTGAGTATCAGAAAAGGCATTATGGAAGTAAGCATTCTGTGATATTGGGACGTCTCTAAACTTTCCATGATGTGGTGTATGTAGAACTGTCTGCAGTATTTGTACAGATTTCATTGCAGCCAGCATATATATATTACTTATTGCCAATATGTAGTAGACTCCCATGTAAGAAGACTCCTAAAAGAACTAAGATTAAGTCCATGATAAAACATTGATCTAAATTACCACTGAATTCATGAAATGCATTTCATATTTTGTGGTTGATAATTAGCTTTATGGTTTGATCTGAATATTGGAAAACCAGATTTTTGGTTCAGTAGACATACATTTGAATATAGGAATTGTTTTAAGGAAAATAAGAGCTCCTTTTGCCAGTTTTGTAGCACAAATCAAGATTGTGTGGATATCTGGTCCTAGTAGAAAGAATTTAAAATCAATCTGCAATTGAACATTTTTTCCTCAAGTATATTTAGCTTTATGTAGCAGTGTTGACTGGAGTCAAGAGTAATTTTTGTACACTTAATTTATTAGCACAAGCATTGTACTTAATTTATTAGCTATTATCCCCAAGTGCTTATAATGCACTTGACGCGATTGTGTGATAAGTAGAGAGAATTGCCCAGCAAGTCGTAGACACTTGCATAATTCCTCCCTTACAGTGATATGTTTAGTTATCCTCTGTTTTGGGAAGCGTGTAAAAATATGAGACTCCACCCAAGATGTGCTTAGTAGTAGGACATTCATTTGAGGTAGCCAGGCATGCATTTTATGATCCTGTGTTGCTGATAGAGACACTTAGTAGTGCAGGCTGTGATTTGGTTACAGTTACTGATGTATCGATTAAGGATTAAATGAAGGCGTTGTTCCCACACAGGTGGAGTCTGAACTGGAGCATAGCGTCCCTTTAAGATAGCATTTCCAAATGTAGAAAAGAACTACAGGTCATTACCCATCTCGTTTAAGATCAGTCTAACTTTAACACCCTTCACATTTCCTTCTTTTTAATCAAATCACTATACTAGTTTGCAGCATCATCTTATTGTAATGACAACATCAACATGGATAACTAAGAGAAATATGGCTATGCTCTACTAGATTTCACCAGGAGATACTATGCACTGGTTAATTAATTGTAATTCTGTATGCTAGGCTGTTTTATCAAAATAATATAAAATTCAGAGATATTTTTAGATCTATTTTTGTATAGAAATGCAATTCAACATGACTGTGAGCCAGAGTGGGGGGAAATAAAGAAGACATTTACTACTTCAAAAATATTACTGGTTAATGAAATAATTAAGGTCAAGGATTTTTCTGTAAACATTTTTTGTTGCTGTCTCTCTTTCTTGAATGTGTCCATGTTTCGTTTTTCCTTGTACTGGAAATAAGAACAGGGAAGTCAACCCCAATCTTTTTTGATGGTTCTTGGTTTTTACAGATAGGGGCCACCTCTCACAGCATGTCGTTTTGCACTATGTTTTAAACAGGAAAAATAAATGATTGAGTAAATTAAAACCACTTTTTTTGTCTTTTATTTGGTTTTCACATGAATGGACTTGCATTTAATGATATATATTGAGGATGGGATTACAGTGCTTAAAGGATTTTTGAATATCATTCTGGTTACTTGAACTTCACAGAGCTCTCATGTAATGAATTGTATTGACCACAGACTCCTGTTTAAGTTTATTGTAAAGCCCATTATTATTTTGTATCATAAACGTATAGCTTTACATCATCATTGCTGGTAATGTAACTACTGAAAGCATAACTTCTAAAACCTCCAAACCAAAAGCCAGTTATAAATAAAAATGATACAAAACCCTGCCCCAAAGCAAATTCAGATGAATGTATGTCATATTTACGGAATTATAGTGAGAATTGAAAGTTTGATAACAGGTTTTTAAATCCTGTGCCTTCGAAACATTTAGGGACTGCAGGGCACGCCAGGAATCAAGTTAAAAAAACATTTATATGCAGGTAAAAATAGAATTACATCACCCCAGGAAAGGGCCCTCCATGGATAAACTACTGATAAATACATGTAGTTCATATTATTAAAATGATTTAAAGATTATGTTAAGACATATCATGAAAGAGGGCTCACACAGGTAGGGCCTTAAAACAGCTCTTGAAGCCCACCTGCTGCTGAACTGTTGTTAAAATGAGAGAACCTTGTCACTGATAAATTATATTGGGGATTAAAGGATTCAAAAGAACTTTAGTACTTCAATAAGGGGCTGCAAAACTGTATGGCACATTCTTGAAATTAGTTCACAGGTTTTAAAAATACTAACTTTCATTGAACAGTAATGTTTCTACACGCTGACAAAACTTGAGACATTCCTGTCCAAATGAGTATTTACAGCATAAAGTAAAATGAGTGTCTTGAAAAAGTGATGTCTTTAGGTGCTTAAAAATGTAAAAGAGACCTAACTACCCCTTTCCCCAAACCAAAAAAAAAAAAATTCACACAGGTAATAAAAAAATCCTTTAGAAGACCCTGGAAAGAGGTGTGCACCCACACTGCTGGCAGATTAACAGTTGTAGGCAGGTGCCCAATAATTACAAGGCAGCTAGGTGGGAAGTATAGCATACCAGCCACTGATGATAAGTTAAAGAGGTGTCCAGGCGAGTGCCCTAGGGAATTCGCCCAGGTTCATCATGCCTTAGGTTAAACTTAATCATTGCTATAAATATATTAATGTATAGCAATGGTGGTATGATGTACAGGTAAATCCTTTGTGTAGATATCAAAGTGTGATGAACACAAGTTGAAGAAGTTGAAGAGGTTAGCATCAACCAGTAAAATTAATGCACCCCTCCCCTCCTTTAAATGCACAAAATAAATAATGATATCAACAACAAATGAATTAAAATAATGAATATTTCACAATTAGCATTAATAAGTGAAACCCTGATCATCTTAATCATTACACAAAATTATCTTTGTTCTGTAAACTTTCCTCTCACTACATTTCAGCCAAATATATCTGCATGAAAGATCTGGTCATTATACATGCAGAAGCAGTTCTTGAAATTCTTTACATCTGTCTGCAGCAGGTATTAATCAATATTCTTATATACTACTTCATTGCATCAGTCAGTTTTATTACTTAAGTAGCCCAGTGACTGTTACCATATTTGATGTACAGTGCAGCTGCAGTGAAAAATTTTGGATGAAGTTTTTGTTAAGCAAAAGTCACATGAATAGGATGGTACAGAAATATGTGTTTCAAGCAGAACTAAGCAAAAGAAAGTTAACTTTCTCAAGGTGTTCAGTAGAACAAGAATAAGGCCGTAGCTGGGGGTCGGGAGTTGGAAAAACCACCCTTTTTGCTGGGAAAAGGTCTGCTCTGAGTAAAAATTGATCAAGGTAAATGAAGGTTTCATTTTAAAAGATCCACTTTTCTGAAATAGTCACCCCCCCCCCCCCCCCNACATTACTGGTTAATGAAATAATTAAGGTCAAGGATTTTTCTGTAAACATTTTTTGTTGCTGTCTCTCTTTCTTGAATGTGTCCATGTTTCGTTTTTCCTTGTACTGGAAATAAGAACAGGGAAGTCAACCCCAATCTTTTTTGACGGTTCTTGATTTTTACAGATAGGGGCCACTTCTCACAGCATGTCGTTTTGCACTATGTTTTAAACGGGAAAAATAAATGATTGAGTAAATTAAAACCACTTTTTTGTCTTTTATTTGGTTTTCACATGAATGGACTTGAATGTAATGATATATATTGAGGATGGGATTACAGTGCTAAAAGGATTTTTGAATATCATTCTGGTTACTTGAACTTCACAGAGCTCTCATGTAATGAATTGTATTGACCACAGACTCCTGTTTAAGTTTATTGTAAAGCCCATTATTATTTTGTATCATAAACTAAAGCTTTACATCATCATTGCTGGTAATGTAACTACTGAAAGCATAACTTCTAAAACCTCCAAACCAAAAGCCAGATATAAATAAAAATGATACAAAACCCTGCCCCAAAGCAAATTCAGATGAATGATGTGTCATAATTACGGAACGATAGTGAGAATTGAAAGTTTGATAACAGGTTTTTAAATCCTGTGCCTTCGAAACATTTAGGGACTGCAGGGCACGCCAGGAATCAAGTTAAAAAACATTTATATGCAGGTAAAAATAGAATTACATCACCCCAGGAAAGAGCCCTCCATGGATAAACTACTGATAAATACATGTAGTTCATATTATTAAAATGATTTAAAGATTATGTTAGGACATATCATGAAAGAGGGCTCACACAGGTAGGGCCTTAAAACAGCTCTTGAAGCCCACCTGCTGCTGAACTGTTGTTAAAATGAGAGAACCTTGTCACTGATAAATTATATTGGGGATTAAAGGATTCAAAAGAACTTCAGTACTTCATCTTTAAGCAATAAGGGGCTGCAAAACTGTATGACACATTCTTGAAATTAGTTCACAGGTTTTAAAAATACTAACTTTCATTGAACAGTAATGTTTCTACACGCTGACAAAACTTGAGACATTCCTGTCCAAATGAGTATTTACAGCATAAAGTAAAATGAGTGTCTTGAAAAAGTGATGTCTTTAGGTGCTTAAAAATGTAAAAGAGACCTAACTACCCCTTTCCCCAAACCAAAAAAAAATTCACACAGGTAATAAAAAAAATCCTTTAGAAGACCCTGGAAAGAGGTGTGCACCCACACTGCTGGCAGATTAACAGTTGTAGGCAGGTGCCCAATAATTACAAGGCAGCTAGGTGAGAAGTATAGCATACCAGCCACTGATGATAAGTTAAAGAGGTGTCCAGGCGAGGGCCCTAGGGAATTCGCCCAGGTTCATCATGCCTTAGGTTAAACTTAATCATTGCTATAAATATATTAATGTATAGCAATGGTGGTATGATGTACAGGTAAATCCTTTGTGTAGATATCAAAGTGTGATGAACACAAGTTGAAGAAGTTGAAGAGGTTAGCATCAACCAGTAAAATTAATGCACCCCTCCCCTCCTTTAAATGCTCAAAATAAATAATGATATCAACAACAAATGAATTAAAATAATGAATATTTCACAATTAGCATTAATAAGTGAAACCCTGATCATCTTAATCATTACTCAAAATTATCTTTGTTCTGTAAACTTTCCTCTCACTACATTTCAGCCAAATATATCTGCATGAAAGATCTGGTCATTATACATGCAGAAACAGTTCTTGAAATTCTTTACATCTGTCTGCAGCAGGTATTAATCAATATTCTTATATACTACTTCATTGCATCAGTCAGTTTTATTACTTCAGTAGCCCAGTGACTGTTACCATATTTGACATACAGTGCAGCTGCAGTGAAAAATTTTGGATGAAGTTTTTGTTAAACAAAAGTCGCATGAATAGGATGGTACAGAAATATGTGTTTCAAGCAGAACTAAGCAAAAGAAAGTTAACCTTCTCAAGGTGTTCAGTAGAACAAGAATAAGGCCATAGCTGGGGGTCGGGAGTTAGAAAAACCACCCTTTTTGCTGGGAAAAGGTCTGCTCTGAGTAAAAATTGATCAAGGTAAATGAAGGTTTCATTTTAAAAGATCCACTTTTTCTGAAATAGTCACACACACCCCCCCCCCCC